TGTTATCAGCTCTAATAACATTACGGTTGTATATAAATATTCCGGTGATGTTACTAGTTGACCCCTCTCACCCCACCCCCTGCCGCAGTGTTTGGCCAAAATCATGGTTAGTCAAACATGGAAAAGATCTGGAGTTCAGGAGTGAGTCATGTCATTTTGGTGGGGGACTGTGTTCACATACCAACTGATTGTCCCTCCTTTTCTCTTCCTGTTTGCATTTTTCTTTCTGAATGCTCAGTGTGCTCTCTTGCTTTTGCCCTTGTGTTTCCTGCATGTGTCCCCTAGGCCAGCAGTTTGTATCTTCCTAGAGGCCTTAGGATCTCACTCCTGTAACCAGCATCCATTTGGAACATTTAGGGGCAAGAGGCTATGTCACGTCACTGTAGATGTCCTTGTCACCACTAGGAAGCATTTACTGATACCTGACACAGCTGGCAAGGAAGTCTACTGAAGGGCGCCTGGGTGGCTCAGTTGGTTAAGCGACTGCCTTCGGCTCAGGTCATGATCCTGGAGTCCCGGGATCGAGTCCCACATCGGGCTCCCTGCTCGGCGGGGAGTCTGCTTCTCCCTCTGACCCTCCCCCCTCTCATGTGCTCTCTATCTCTCTCATTCTCTCTCTCAAATAAATAAATAAAATCTTTAAAAAAAAGAAAAAGTCTACTGAAGGTTAATTTTCAAAACAACTTTGTAGACAGCTTTGTAACCTTGTCTATATTTTTCTGTTTCCTTTTTCAACTAGGAACTCTAAGGCCCTAAGATTTGCCTCCCTTCTTAAGATTAATTTGCAATTACTCAAGAGACTTTTGATTATGCGGGTATGGAGGGGACCCTTCAAAGCCAGATACTGTGAAAAACAACATCTGATACCGAATGCATAGTGAAGGTGATGACTAGTTAAAAATGTAAGAAGCAGATTGGGTATAATCTCAGGAGTCTTTATGTGAACACCAATATGATAATGTGATTTTGAAATTAAGCATGAGTTCTTAAAATTCCTGAGAGTTGGTAGATTGGGACAACTAACTGGATTTTGGTTGTGGGAAGAACTAAGAGAGGAAGGAGCACAGTATGTAATTTTAAAATCCATCAGTCTGGTAATAGAAGTGAGCAAATGGGATTACAAATACGGATTATTGAGGAAGTGTTAGGATGGTGGAAGAAACATGGGAGGTAGAAAAACTTTTCTTTGGACATCAAAGGGCATTGAGAAGTGACTCCTGAAATTTTTCTTAAATCTTCCATTGGAGCTTGCACTGCAGCTAACTAGAAAGCCTTCAGGGATTTTGTTGTTGTTTTTAGATGAACCATGCTACTACGTTTTATTAATAATATGTAGTTAATCTTCTTTCACTGCTTTGTTTAGTAAATCTCTTGTAATTTATCTGTAGAATATTATGCTTAAAAGATTAACAGCACTTTTTGGTTTATCAACATTTTCTTCCCACTTCCAGAAATTACAAACAGAATTATTCTGTTCATAATTAACGGCAGGGGTCTAATAGGTCATTGCTGGGAAATTTTTGCTTTCTATTTTTCATTTGATGTATTTACTCATTTTCATTACTCTCCAGAACGGGGGTTAGGGTAGTGGCCAGCATTTAAGTGCTCTTCATTTATGTTAATGATACATTTCCCTCCCTTTTTAATGAAGACCTAGATGGGTTTATAACAGAATGAATTATATTTGAAGTAGCGTGGTTGTACTGTGTTCTGTGTATAAGAAATAAAAAATCAAGGAGAAAGAATGATTTTTGGAAATTTCCCACAGACTGACTTTCAATAATTTTATTTGAAATAACTTTTGGGGCGCCTGGCTGGCTCAATTGGAAGAACATGCGACTCTTGATCTCAGGGTGGTGAGTTTGAGCCCCACGTTGGGTTGTAGAGATTACATACATACGTACATACATAAACTTTAAAAATAATAATTCTTATGGAGAAAAATGATAACATAAAAGGACCTTTAAGTTTTTTTAATGATTCAGAAGAATTGGTTTTAGCTGATAATTTACTTAATATTTAAACAGTTTGTCATAGAGCACAAAATAGAAATTATCATCATTGTTGTGGCAATTTGTGTATAACCAAATAGATGCATTTGATCTCTAAACAAGCAGGAAAGTATTAGATCAAATCTGCAAACCAGATTAACATTGATAGATACTATTTATGCATGGAGGCTATGAAAAGTGACATGTTTTAAGTTGTCTGTAGGCCTGATCATCAATATATCTGTATTTTTTCTTTTAAGATTTTATTAGAGAGAGAGAGACAGTGAGAGGGGGAACACAAGTAGGGGGAGTAGGGAGAGGGAGAAGCAGGCTTTCCGCTGAGCGGCGAGCCCGATGCAGGGCTTGATCCCAGGACTCTGGGATCATGACCTGAGCCAAAGGCAGACGCCTAACAACTGTGCCATCCAGGCTCCCCAGTATATCTGTATTTCATTGAGAGACCATTTTAGTTTATTCTTTAAACATTTTACTTATTTATTTGCGAGAAGAGAGTGAGCAAGAGAGAGAACACAAGTTGGGGGGTGGAGTGCAGAGGGAGAGGGAGAAGCAGACTCCCTGCTGAGCAAGGAGCCCAAAGCAGGTCTCAATCCCAGGACCCTGGGATCATGACCTGAGCCAAAAGTAGATGCTTAACTGGCTGAGCCACCCAGGCGCCCCAAGAGACCATTTTAATATGTAGGTATATAGAACTAACTTCCCAACACATTTATTTCCTTATTAGGAGCAATAATGGTGGAGTGAACCACAATTTTTACAAATCTTCTAATTTAATTTTATAAACTTTCTTAAATACTATAATTCCCTGTTTACCCTTTTAATCAGATAATCGGGAAAAGCATTTAAAGGCCAAATATACATTAAAAGAAAAAAATAGGCTTTGACTTTTACTGCTTGCATTCTTCTTTATCAAAAAATGCAGTTGGATGCTGTCTGCTTTTCTGTGAACTAACAAGGGTATTTTATTTAATAATAGTGAAGAAATACATAGGATTTGAGAAATACAGTTGCTCCCAGGCAACCAAATTGTCACTGCTCAGCTGCATTTAGCTAGAGAGATTGTAGAAAGTTAGGATTTGGTACTTTTATCATTTGTGCTTTTTGTTAGTTTTGACCCAAAACACTTTCTATTTTATAAATCACCTTTTTCTATCTTTAGTGTTTGGCTGTCTGCATATTTTAAAATAATAGTTATTTTGAACACATTTACTTGTTTACAGTCAGATCATAGTACTTTCCATTTTAAGGGTGATGTAGCCATTAGTATCCTGGCAGAGTTTTGGGTTGTGAGCAGGTAAGGAAATGATAGACACTTTGGGGGTTCCAGGTTTGTTCTGGGATCATCCAGTATGCATGTGTTATGATATTTTTAAAAGATGTTTGTATGAGAAATCAGTTTCTCAAGATGATATGAAAACCAAGAAGGGAATTACTGAAATTATTGAGAAAGTGAGATAATAGCTTTTCTAGGAAGGTGTTCATCCCTGGTATTTGAGAGTATGTTGTTATCCCTGGGTAGGCTTTTCATTACTTCTACTTTCTTCCTTGTTGAAGTTGAATTAAAATCCTGTAGGGGAAGGGAGAAAGGCAGTTTTCTGAATGGAAACAATGCCCAATGTGCAGGGGGGCACTGGCTAAGACAGCAGCTGTCAGACACATTCATTTTGAATTCTTTTTTTCTTTAGCCACTGGAGTGGTTTCTTCTTTGTCCTCTAAAATACTGGTTTGTCTGGTTCAGTGTCCAGACAGCTAATTTCAGGTCAAAGAAATGTTTTGCAGGGTTTGTAGGAAGATTTGTAGGGAAGATGGTATAAAGATAGGAGCTCTCCGGCAACTGTTGGCAAATTATAAGGTGGCTCAGAAGTTCTTTAAGCGGTTTCAGCCTTGCCTCTTCTCCCGCCATCCTTTCTTTTCCTGACCTGCCCCTCAGATTTAAACAAACAAAACAACAAGCAAACAAACAATAAAACAACAAAAACTGATTAAGAAAATTATTTGAGGGGCGCCTGGGTGGCTCAGTCGGTTAAGCGTCTGCCTTCGGCTCAGGTCATGATCCCAGGGTGCTGGGATCGAGCCCCACATCGGGCTCCCTGCTCCGCAGGAAGCCTGCTTCTCCCTCTGACCCTCTTCCCTCTTGTGCTCTCTGTCTCTCATTCTCTCTCTCTCAAAGAAATAAAATCTTTAAAAAAAAATTATTTGAAGACACCAGTCTTGGTATTTGTAGCTGAGGTCACTTTTTTTAAGAAGCTCTAGCAAACTTGGCCTCACTTGACAAACTGGTTATGCCCTTGAGAAGAGGAACATACAAAGCTTCTGTCCTCGTCAGACTGTAACTTCAACTCACTGTAAACAACATAAACTTAAGTAAAGTTTATTTCAGATTCTTCTCAAAAATGGTTGCTTGCTTTAGAGCACTGCCTCCCTGGCCCTGGCCCCCTGCAGCTTTCAGGTTCTTATTGACACCACTAAGCTAGTGAGCTTCCCGTTTCCTTTTCTTTCTCAAAGTCTACAAGTAAAATATATAGCTTACCCCAGGTTAGATGGAGAAAGTGGTGCTTATAGTGGGATTTTTCTTCTAGGTAAGTACGGGTGCTTATATCTAGAGTGAATTGTGGGCAGGATAAAGAAAAAGGACAGCTCTGGGGCGCCTGGGTGGCTCAGTCGGTTAAGCGTCTGCCTTGGGCTCGGGTCATGATCCCGGGGGCCTGGGATCGAGCCCCGCCTCAGGCTCTGGCGTTCAGCGAGGAGCCTGCTTCTCCCTCTCCATGCATCCCCCCCACTTGTGCTCTGTCTCTCTATCTCTCCCTCGCTCTCTCAAATTAATGAAATCTTTAAAAAAAATAGAATGTGATTTAAAAAGGAAAGAAAAAGGACAGCTCTGAGTTCTTTTTAATTGTTGTGAAATTATGTTTTTTTGTTTTATGAATTCCCAAGACATCAGCATACACATATGATTTAAATTTCTGTCTAAAAAAACATATTTAAGGGGGCACCCGGCTGGCTCAGTTGGTAGAGCGTGTGACTCTTGATCTCAGGGTTGTGGGTTCGAGCCCCACATTGGGTGTAGAGATTACTTAAAAATCTTTAAAATATGAATAAATAAATTTTTTTTTTTTAAGATTTTATTTATTTATTTGAGAGAGAAAGAGAGATAGCACGAGAGGGAGGAGGGTCAGAGGGAGAGGCAGACACCCTGCTGAGCAGGGAGCCCGATGCGGGGCTCGATCCCGGGACTCCAGGATCATGACCTGAGCTGAAGGCAGTCGCTTAACCAACTGAGCCACCCAGGCGCCCAATAAATAAATTTTTTTAAACCCAAACTTACTTATCTTTAAAGATTTCATTTATTTATTTGAGATAGAGTGAGAGTGAGAGAGAGAATAGGGAGGAGCAGGCTCTCCACTGAGCAGGGAGCCTGATAGCCTGAGGCTGGGCTCAATCCCAGGACCCTGGGATCATGACCTGAGCTGAAGGCAGACATTTAACCAACTGAGCCACCCAGGCGCCCCCCAAACTTAGTTATTTGGGACTTTTAAATCATGTATAAAAATGTAAGGAAAATTAAGACTTATATATGTAACAAAAACTCCCTAAAATTCTAAACACTGTTCTTTAGAAGCATGTGACAGCTCCAACCTAAGCTTTAAAACGGGGAGAATGGAACTGAGAAGAAAAATAATTTCAGTTTGAAGTAACTCATACTTAATTATGTTAGTTTCAATGTTCCACTGCAACAACAGAAAATTAGATTGTAATCCAGTTGAACAGTGTGCTCGTTCAAATCTGGAAAGTACCTTTATCTGTATTGGCAAAGTGGATGACTAGAGGTGCAAGTGGCTACAACTTAGACAGTTCTAGAAGGCCCAAAAGGAGTTTATTGACCATGTAGCATAGATTTTCCAGTAGTGCTTTGTGTATGTTCTCAAAGCAAAACTCCAGCATTAAGTCTTATATTTATCATATTTGCAGATTTTATAAGATGTACTTCTTTTAATTGGGCAGGAGATCAAAAACCTGAAGTTACCAATTAGCCTCAGCAGTAGTTAGCTCAGTAGAATGTAGGAAGTAGAAGGGATGGTAAGGCATTGAATGTTGTGGGAAATAGTGGGAAATGAAATGGAATCAGCTGAGTAAGGCCAGATAATAGAGAACCGTTAAAACCAGAACATTTGTCCACTTGGTTTGGTGGACAAGAAAGAGAAGGTTTCGGCGTTTGTACAGAGGAATAACATTACTCTCTCCATCATCATGTCACATAGGCTGCTGTTTGGGAATGGAAGGATGGTAGAATATGAGTGATTCTGTAGTTCTTTTGAGACAGGATGAACCTATTCAGAATGATTGTGTGGATGAAAACGAATCTAAAAAAGAAATGACAAAGAAGCTGGGCTGCCATAGTAAGATCACGGTTGCCAGAGAAATGATGCATCAAACATTTGGTGTTACCAGAAAGTAACAATAGAAGATGATGCAGGGAAATCACTGCTTTTGAACAGATATTCAAAAGAAAATGTTTCTCATGGATCTAAAATTAGTCAGATAAAAGAAATGCATGAGTTTATCAAGTTTGTGATCCAGAAACCTAGACGAGAAATACCAGTTGCCAAGGCAATTATTTCTCTTAGAGTGTTTGCTGTGGAGAAGAAGCGTAATGTCCCAGAACCTGAGTTCAGGGGCAATTTCAAGTGGTCTGGGAGGATGATGCTTCCAAATGGGTCAGCCTCATGGTAGAGAACCAGTCTAGCCCCCCTCCCAGCATCAGCTCAATGATTTTGACACAAGACCCATCTCTCTGCGGTGCTGCAGTCTAGCTTCAGGTGAAGCCACGTGATGTGTGAGGCAGAGAGGCCGGTTTTTTAAATGCATTTTTCTGTAGCAGTGAACAGAGTGGGCAGGAAACTTGCTATGAAACCTATCCCCCCAAAAGATAAAAGGAGAGGAGCTCACCACATCTGTTGTATTTGAGGCACTGTACATCAGCCAGAGAGAGAATGCTCTCCGTGTGAGTGTGTGAGCTCAAGAAAGGCTGCAGGGAGTGAGAACTTGCTTTAGACTAGTTGGTGATTGTATGGGGAAGAATGTGTGGAGTTCATGTTTAAAAACAAAAACCAAGCATGCTGACTTTAGATTATTTTTTTATGGACATAACCTGTCACAGGGAAAAATGTTCTATAAATGTAGTACTGACATGGCATATGTGAAATAATGACCTCCGAAGGTATGGTCTAGACATTGGTAACCATCTGTGTTAAGAATTCACACTGACTGGGGCGCCTGGGTGGCTCATTCAGTTAAGCATCTGACTCTTGGTTTCAGCTCAGGTCATGATCTCAGGGTCGTGAGATGGAGCCCCACATCAGGCTCCGCCCTCAGCATGGAGTCTGCTTAAGTTTCTCTCTCCCTCTCCTTCTGCTCCACCCCCTGCTCATGTGCCTACTCTTTCTCTCTCAAATAAATTAATTAAAAAAAAAAATCCATGCGGACTGGTTGCTTGCTGACAATCATGCACTGGGGCCACGTGGAAAATCGGGAACTCCATTATGTTTTTGGCATGGGATTTCATCACAGTACATTGATAGAGGCTTCTTAAGGGCTGCAGATAAAAAGCAGGACCAATGGTGAGCTTCACTAGTGAGATGAAGCAGAAGAGGAAGACTTGAAAAATAGCAAAGACAAGACTGCAAATAAATAGCAAGGACATTTGTGATTAAAAATTTGAGCAAGGTGATAGTAAGTAAAACAACTTTTCGTGTTTCGTTCCACAGGGTAAAAATATTTATTTTTCAATACCATTGTATATTTAAGCTGTATTTGCCAAATCTAATTGTAAGATCATTGGGACCCTTGTCAAAAACAGATTTTTCAAATCTCCTAGAATCAGTTTCCAGGCATGGGCCTAGGGAACTGTATTTTTAACAAATGCTCCAGATGAATTATATACTCAGCCAATTTCAGGAAGCACTGAGTTATGCCAACTCAATGTGCCTGAATGTTGGCAAGTTGTCATATGTTAAGCTAATGTGTTACATGGAATTTTCTTGTTCAAGTAATAGGTGTTACTGTATCATGTGGCAGGAGAAGTACGGTAAATATTAATGTTGACAAACTCATAATTTTAGAGTTAATAGCTTATCCTTTGTGTGGAATTTTCCTGTCTTATAAAAGGTATTAGGTATCATCATGTGGAAGTAAAGACACACTCAAAACTAAACAGTATTCCACATCCCCATCTCAAAGGTGCTTTTTATTGGTCCTGATAAGGGCATTCTTAGTACGTTTGGTATCTGTACTTTCCCAGCCTGTCTTCCTTCTAGGAATGCAAATCCTCAAGGAGACTTTTCTCATCTAAGAACATTTACTGAAGTACTGAAACTTCTATAGCTATCTTTGTGCAGTTCAAGTTGTACATAGATTTTATCTAAAGGTCAGCCTAAAGGAAATATCTTGGAAGGAAGGCACCTTTTCCTCTTAATGGTTATTTTTTTCTTTGGATAAAGATCTTATACTTGCAATCTCTGGTATTGTAATAAAACTATACATAGTCCAGTACCTGTTAAGTGTTGCAAAATAGAGAGTCTCAAAAATATCTAAACTGGCTTGTTTGTTTGATTTTTAAATAACTGGTGGTTGTTTCTGCTTCTCCAGACCTCTTGGTCTTTTTGTTGTAAGCAAGTCTGGTCACAGTTCCCAAACAAGAAACAAATCACACTGTACTGCATTTCTCAAAAATAAGACAGAAACACACAAAAAATAAGTGTACCAGACACTGCCTGTCTGATACAGACAGTAAAACCTAAATTCCTAGGAAAGAGTTGTGAATCAGTAAACTCGTGAACTGATACAATTGCCGTTCTCTCTGACAGAGGAAAGAATGTCTGACCACCTTTCTGGCATCTTCTAAGAAAGGCATGCACATGTCTGTCTACTTCTTTCTTCATTTCCCTCTCAGGTACCTTCCTGTGTGACCCCCCCTACTTCTTTTGCACACTGTCGTGCCTAAATGTAATTTCTCATGAGCATCTTTAGGTTTTCTTGAGGATATGTCTCAGACTCCTGAGGCAGATATAAGCAGGACAGCTGACTGGGCATAAGAGCAACTGGGATCAAATCAGAGTCAAACTCTCAGGGGACTCCTGCTTTCTGGTCAGGAGAGGATGGGGATTTGTGTTGGCTTAGGCTCTGGGAATCAGTTTGTTTTCCCCCCTGTATCCCACGGTGGGCCTTCCAAGTCTCACCTTGCCCCTGCCTCCCCATCTTTGCCACTCGTCTTATCTGCCATGAGCAGGGAGCAAGGTCAAGTGAGTGCCTGAATTTTACTCCAGGGGAAAGAATTGAGGCACACAACACGTGTACTGGCAAGATGAATCACATATCCCATCCTCAGCTCTTTCGTCCCTAGAGAGACACAAAATTCTGTACGTTTCCTGGGGCTTCCTTTGGTTGTGTTCCTTTACATCACCTGCCCACTTGGATTTCTAGAAGAGAAAGGGCCTCTCCTCCAAAAGTGCCTCATTCTTTCGATCCTTCCCCTCTTCTTATTTTACCACTTCCCTTGAAACTGCTGTTTCAAAAACAGTATTCCCAACCTATGAATCTCCCCCGAGTGCTGCCTTAGTACACACCATTTTACTCCTCCTTTGTCCTGTCCCTGCCCCGAGTCTCACAGGAAGTTAGGTCTGCTCCTTGGCCTTTGTTTCACCCCCATTTTTCCCTTGGAAGTCCTGCTCATGAATGTATAGAGCGCATTTGCACATTATCAGTAAACATTGTCTTAGTACTTGAGTTTGTATAGTTGTGTTTTAGTAAGAGCTTTGCTGTCGTATTTGGAGATTGGACCTCAAATCTAGCTTGCTTTGGGGACGCTTATGTCTCAGTCTTTACCATTCAAGTCCGGACTTAGTCAGATGGGAATGTGCACTAAATAGCACATCTTAAAAAAAAAAAAAAAATTTTTTTTTTTTTTTTTTACATCTTAAAATTTTTTTAATGGAAGCTATTTTGCTAGACCATGCAAATGCATTGGCCAGGCTGTTAGAAGGCTTTGCCAGAGCTCGTGTTTGAGTT